TGATCAATCATGTCTTCTTAACTTAGTAACAAAATGATTAATTGGTAAATTGAGGACCGAGGATGGGAAAAAAAAAAAAAACAGTATATGTAACATGGGGACAAACAAAGGCTGAATATAATGATTCAAACCTTAATTTATTTTGCCTCCATCACCAAGAGAAGATTTAGGTGAGAGAGTGAATCCCCCATATAGGCCTTATATCCAAGGAAATCTCTCTTTAGTTATTTTTAGACATGGTGCCCAGCTCTTCCACAGAGTTTACTAGCGCTATGCGTGGACAACCCAGGCAACTTTCTCCAAACTAACTGAGATGAAATGGCGGGAATGTGGGAAAAATTTTTTTTATAAGTTTCGATTTTTATAGGACGTTGACCATCGAAATATGTTTTCCAGCTCAGAATTTTTTTTGGTTCTCTCAGCTGTCTTTTTTGTTCTGCTGGATTTTGCTTTGTGCTCGTTTAACTTTTGATTCCTCTGCCGTTCATTCAGTTTTATGGAGTTTGGCAAGCCACAACGGCAATGGCAACGGCATCGACAACAAGTGCAACGGCTATTCGCACCAGTCTTTTACTAATGGAGTATAAATAAGAGCTCTGCATCTAATTTCAGCCCAGTTCACGTAAGAATCCTGCCTTTGCTAACTGTACTTTACATGCGCGGCTTGCATAGTTCCTTTCTCCTTCAACCGGACTAACCGCGTACAGCAGGTCAAGTTTATGGAGACCCAAATACGGCAATCTTACTGGTACAACTACACTTTTTCTTGTGGTCACGGTTTGGTGCTTTTAGTCGTTCATTACGTCGTCTGCTAGCTTGTATTTGCGCAGGTGTTGTCCCTTGTTTCGTTCCCTGGCTTTTGTGCGTGGTTTTTTCTTCCCCTACGCCCTTTAAGCATTTATATGCTTTTACGGTGAAGTTGCAGAACTGTTTATCGTTCCAGGCGTGCTTTGCCTTACCAATGCCAAGTTAGTGCAGTGCTTTTCCCTAGGCCCCCTTCAAGTTTGCACGCTTGCGTTCTTGGTCTCCTGCGCGCCAAAGGCGCCATAGTGGAGTCCCGTGCCTTAAAAAATTTGGTAATCCATTGAGCTAAAAAGAAATTGCTTGTCACGTGATTGTCCGTGTGTACGTCCATCCGTCCAGACGTACGTATATCCGTACGACACTCGCACTGCGCGTGCGCATCGCAGTTTGAGGAGAACGGCTTTGATATGACTTTGTCTCAACAGGTTTCGTCTGCGATTGTAGACATCAAGTTACCGATAATGCCATCACGTTATTCGAATCTTGTAATCATCTTGCGTTCTATCATTAATGGCATTTAAAATGTCACGGCTTATCCCAGAAACCTCTTTCCAATAAGTCGTGGTATTTGATAACAGAGAATTCGTAATTCTACTTTCAGTAAACAGTAATTTTAAAGAAATTGTAAACAAAAAAAATATTACAATCCGCAAAGAAAAAAAATCCTAGTTAAACCCTTTAAGAGGCATTTAAAGAATGGCGATAACTCGTTTACTTCTACCGATAAATATCGTAGAATTCCAAAAGTAACGGCCCCAGTTACTTTTGGATTTAGCAGGCAAAAGGGACCGCCACTTTTGGGTAGCCGTCACCTTCGGATGGCTAAAAACCGTTTCTACGGTAACAGTCGTTTAGACAAAGCGGACGCATAACACATTTATGTGTGTTCCTAACTACCCACATAAACAAAGCAGGCTGTATAAACAAAAAAGGTCCTTAATGTTGGTACTGTAGGGTGAAACATTATATCGCGATGCAAGTAATTGCACTGCAGTGCATCATTTGACTCTGCGCCAGACAAATACAGCTCATAAATATTTCAACAAAAATTCAGTTAAGTTCGAAATGAATCACAAATAACTCTTCAAGTTGTTTAGTCCTGCAGTCAGAGTGCTCCATCCGCATTTCGCTTGAGACCAGAGAGTTTCTCTTTTAGTGACTTCTTCAAAGGGCCGCTACTTTCAGAGGGATCGTTTCTTTCGGGGCTCAATAGGAAAATAGAAAATTAACGTTATTTTCGGGGAGCCGTTATTTTCGGGGGGGNGGGGCATTACTTTCGGAATTCTACGGTAACTTGAAAAGTCATATCACATTTGTCCCTGTCGTTTAATCTCCAAAGAGAAGTTCTAGCACAATTAGCCCTTAGTCCTCTCTCTGAATAACTGCATGATTCGTGCATTTTCATGGGACCCTGTAGCAACTTCATAATTAAATGTCTCCCCAGATGGAACGCTCAGTACCAGTCGTCCGCGGTTTGTCTTCGATCAAAACTGGGCCGTGGAGCCTGTGAGTTAAGGTAGCGCCAGTAATCTCTTAAGTTACGCGTATAATCCAAACACTTCGTAATCGGTCACAGTGAATTTGTTTACCCCTGCTAAGTACGTCGTTTGCTGGCCTGGGGGAACGTCAAACAAAAACCCAAGCTCACTATAGCCTTTCTTTTCCCCCGATATTATTTGTAGGTCGCGATTTCCTCCAAACGTTGGTCCCAGGGTGCTATCGCAGAAAAAGCCTTTCAACTTGCTCTTATTAATTGATATTTTAGTTGGTCTCAGGCCATGCTGGTGGTTGACCATGCTAAATAGGAACGCCTGTGTGCAAGTTATCCACATGATTCGGCCTGTAAATGGCAATGCAAACCTCTTATTGTCACTTAAATCAAATCGTTTTCAGCATATCAATGAACAGAAACGTTTAACAACATCAATAAGAGACATGTCCCCAGTTACCAAGAGAAAATGTAGAGTTAGAGAGTTCATTCACCAATAGACTTAAATCTTAAAGTTATCCCTGTCAAGTTATTTTTAGATATGGTATCCAGTTCTCTCGCGGACGATGTTCTCGCGCGTGTTGCGCGGTTGTTTTCGTGGAGGATGAAACTACGTGTAAAGCCCTGTGGACTACCCACGTGAGTAAAATCCACGTCATACGATTGGCTATTTCTAGACCCTTATTTGGGAGCGATCTAAAAATAACTTTAGAGGGATTACTTAAACTAGGAATGAGACCTACATGGGGATTGACTCTCCTACTCTTCATCCTCTCCTAGAAACTGGGCTGGGCTGATATTTTACAAGTGCTTTATTCCCGGCTACTGTAGTGATTTTCTCGGGTGCGTAGGCCCACTCGATATAAAATTAAACTGAAATATAATGGTTATTGACCAAGCGCGAGCTCAAGATATATGGGTTATTGACCAAGTGTGAGGTCGAGATGGCTGGATATTGGCCAAGTTCTTTTTTTGCGAGTTTATGGACCGAGACGGAGTCGAGGCCAATATCCAGCCATCTTGACCGAACAAGCTTGGTCAATAAAGGATTTATTATATGGCTTTTGGGGAAATTTTTCTTGCGGGACACGGCGGGTAGTCCCGAGCGGGCAAGATAGCTCCATCTTGCCCGCTCGGGTAGCCAATCACAGCGCAGGATTTGATTCATCTTGCCCGCTTGTGGAGCTTGCCATATAATAAGGCTGGATATTGGCTAAGTTCTCTTTTTTTGGCATATATATGCCATAAACACGCGAAAAGGAACGAGGCCAATATCCAGCCATCCTGGTCGAACAAGCTTGGCCATAAAATGATCTATTATATGGAAAAAGTACACTGCTTTTTTTTTTTTTTTGCGGGACACAGCGGGTAATCCCGAGCTAGCAAGTTAGCGCCATCTTGGACTCGGTTTATTTTGCTAACTCACGGAGCTAGCCATATACTAAAAACGTTTCTTGGAAAGATGATATTACATTTATAAACGAAAAAAAGTTATTTCTTAATCGATAAAATTGTTGTTAGAACGAGTGCGCAATAATGCATGTGTGGCTATGAAACATATTCTTGCAAACTTACTTCTTGTCCATGACACATCGGTAAAACCTCCAAAAATGTAGTTTCCACTTTTTACAATGGTGACTGTGGGACCTTGAGCATCACATTTGGAGTGAAAGATTTCAGCTGCAAAGCCATCTCGAGAAGCCCGGAACAGAAGGCGCCATTTTCCTTCCAGAGGAGACAGCCAAACTTTCAATACTCTCTGGTGCTCTTCGTTAGTCAAAATTTCTGACTCTACAAATGCCTCGCTAGGTTTAGATGCTGAAAGTTTAGATTCAGAGGGCACCAGCTCGTCTATTATTCCTTGAATCTGATAAAATTCAGCTTCTTCTTGCAGTTCCTTCAGAAACGTTGCGTCTTCTGGCAAAGTCAATTTTCCAGTGCGAAGATAATTGAGTATATACCGGAAGGGAGTTCCATCTCGGTCAATGAAGAACGCGCCGTCCTCACAAGGCTTTAGTTCAAACCTTCCAGAAAACATGGCCGCCAACATCGAGTTTGAATCTTTGGTCAGCGTTTGAACGCTTGTAGTGAAGTGGTGGCCGCCTACATTGAGATTTATTTTTTTCGACATGGACTTGTTTGTCTCCTTCTTCTTCTGCAAAAGCCAGACAATTAATAATTGTAAAACCCCTATGTCATAGCAAACCAGGCTAAGAAAAGCAGCAAAACATTGATTAAAGCGAAAATATTGAACTTCGGCACAGTTTATATTAAATGTTCCGAAAATGAATTCGTCAACTATAGAAAACTAAATGAATCGCTTAGCATTTTCAAAGAAACAGAATACCATCAAGCAGCCTTAGGAACGATTTCTGTCGAAAATTGTGTTCCCAGCTGCCGGGATTATAGACACTGCGTAATTTAAACAATACACGATACAATCGTTTGATTTTTTTTTAATTTTTACTTTATTGAAAAATATTCGATGCGAATGGAAAGAGTACCTCAAAATTAATAATGCGACCAAGTTCCAGCACGAAATCTCGCATGGTAGTGAAGAAAGCGTTGTTTAAAAACACTGACATTTATAATTCTCTTGTCAGTTGTGCGCGCTTGTTGCAAACCACGGTGATTGTGACAGAATTTCCGCGGGTGAGACAGGCGGGTTCGTCCCGTCATTCTCGGGCTCAGCGAGGTGAAAATGGCACGCTTACCACATGTAAAAAAACGGTTCGATTTTTGCTGCTTAAATTAAATGACCTTCCCTGATTTGTGCCGTACTGAAATTTCCTCTGTGCTCGGATTACGTGTTCAGCAGGTCCGACCAAACAAGTGTGAAATTTTGGCTCGGCATGCATGAGAAAAAGTCGCTCACATAACAAAATCCTTGTCGACCCGTTTTTGTTTGTAAGCCTACCATTTACAAAGGAACCGTGCCAAACATTTTCTGTCGTGTAAATCAGCCTCAAATTAAAAGAAATATGTATATATATTTTGACTGAGGTACTTACAACTGATGAAGCCCTTTGCGTGCTGTCTGTCGAAGCTGTTTATTCCGACAATGCTAAAAAACTTCCCTGGGTGACAATTATGCAAAGAAAAAATTAATCCTATTGGTTGTTGAGATAATTACCTTGGAAATTACCTCATTTACGTCAAGTGCGAAGCATTACGATAAAAAATGTTTTGAATATGAATACGCCATTAGTCACTGTCTGGTTTACTGTAAATTTTTAAATATGAATGGAAGTTTACCATTATATTCGCTAGATCAAATTTATTTTTATCCGAAATAATGATCATTTTCGTGTGTCACAAAAGATAAATCAATCTATATAATTTATGATGATAGTATTGAAATTCGATGACAGTATTGAAATTTACTGTTCAGCCTAAGATATCTCAAAAAGTACTCCTTTACAGAAATAAGCCTTATTGACTTCCCTGGGCTTTCTTGTGTTATATATACGCCGTTCTTTTATATTACTTTTTTGGCTCTGGCTGAATATTCTCATTTCTCTGCCGATTTCATTGCTGAAAAAATTCTTATGAACATTATTAGAATATTAGCCCGCGAACAGGCTCCCGGTGAGCTCTCCGAATTCTTCTGTTTCGTGCTCGCCGAAATTTTTTTTCCGTCCTCGCCGGGAGCCTGCGAACAGGCTATTAGAATATAGCGTATGGCATTTCCGTTTTATCGGGTTTCATCGTATTGAAGAAAATTTGCAATTGTAGCCAGACTGCAGGTAATAAAACTTGATATGACCCACAGAACTTCTTGCAGAAATGGCATTACCACGAACATACATATAGCTAGCGCTGTGCTTTTTGATGTTTTAGCTAGTTTTGCCGTATCGAGAAAGGAAGAATTTTATACGATTTAGTTCAAAACAGACAATTGTATTGTATTAGGAAATTTTCAACACAAAAAATTATATTCTTATGATTATAATTATATTCTTATAATTAATTATATTATATTCTTAGCCTTGGGCTTATTAAATTTTAAAACATTCTTAAAATTTGGCAAATTTCAGCCTCGATATTCTTATAAAATATATTCTTATATAAAAAGTTTGTATTTGATGTTTGTGAATATATTTATTGTGAGGTCTTGATATAATAATAAACTCAACTTAACTACACAACGAATTTATCACTGCCGGGTCATTTTTGTAGGTACGCATACCGCCTAGATGATCATGGTCCCTTGGTAACATTTATCTATATATATCGGAACCGTGCCACAAATCACGGTACGAGTTCCTTTGTTTTGGAAGTCCCACCGTGTAACTTGTGTCCCAGTATAATTAATTCCGGACTATGTGACAAAGGGCCTATACACCTTATTCCAAAATGGCCGCCATTTTAGCATTCTTTTGTTTACTTGCAAATTAGCCCTTAAACTAACGTTCTTAAACTCGAAATTCAAAAGAATATTTTCCCTTAAACGAGGCAACAAGGGCTAATTTGCAAGTAAACAAAAGAATACTAAAATTGCGGCCATTTTGGAATAAGGTGTATTAATACTCGGAGGACCCCTGGATGTATGGCTACTCTTAAATTTGAGTTGAAATGAAGTTTGTGTATGTATGCTAAATGTATGTACAAATAATAGCACAAATGTAGGTAAATCGATAAAACCAAAATCGTAAAAGATCATGTTTACAATGTAATCCAACGTGAATGGGAAACGATTTTAGGTAGAAACGTAAACTACAAAATTGCCCGAAATTTCCCACATACATGTTGGATTCCATTATTAACAGTGATAGATTTTGAAGTCGCACGAATACACATAGATCAAACGTTTACCACTCTGATAGCTTTCACTTTCTTTTTTTTTCTTTTTTTTTTTTTTCTTTTCTTTATTTTTTTTGCGATTGTAAAGAAATGGTTCCTCTTGTTGGATATAATTGTCTATAAAAATCGACCAAAATCGACTTTCGGTGTCACAAGTCGAAAAATCGATTTCACTCGTATTTTGGCCATAGATAGGGCCCAGTGAAAATTATTGAAAACAGGCCGTAGTTAGTTTGTTCTAATGCAGCTAAAAATTTGCGAAAGAAAAAAAAAAACGATTTTGCCCCGATTGTTCTCAAATCTCTTGCCGGTCATGCTGAATTTTCTGAATATTTGATCGCATTGCGCACCACACAGCAGCTACTTGCAATTGTTAATCTGTCAATTATTTTTATATTCAGCTCAGGCCTTCATGGTATGACTGTACAAAAAATAAAATAAATCGAGGTTAGTTTTGAGCCAGAAACGAGATCGAGCAGAGACGCAAGCGAATTATTGCACTAAAACAATGATATCGCCATATTTTTCTATAGCCTATAACTTTAAATGACATACAAACACTCTCTATGGGTTAAATATACACCCAACTGTTAGGATATCAGAAAATATCTCTAAGAAAATGGTTTTAACTGAGTAGATCGCTTTAGCCCGTATTTCTCGCCGATTTTGCCCAAAATCGGCAGTTGGAATGTAAACAATCGCGTAATACTGTTAGTCACCCTCGAATGAATATTCGTTTCTAACAACGTCCTACTTCAGAAGCGTTTTACGTGGATGAAATAATGATGGAAAATGTTTTATGTATAAGTTCGTACACTCATCTAAATATATATAAGTTTTTCATTTGCCTTGCAAAACCCACGTCATCCATGATAAAGAACGTACAGTTCTCGGGGAAATGATTGTAATACATAGCTTCATTTCCAAATGATAAGTCAGTTACTACTTTCGCTGATTACTGCCAAGTTTATGGCAAGTAACCCGCGTACGTACAAGGGGCTTGGAGGGCCGGGGGGGGGGGGGG